CTAACATGTGGCTAAATTACTACAAAAGGCCATCACGCCGAACACAAGTCCGCCTTTAGCTCCGTGGTGGTGACATGAAATCATGCAATCGTGGTGTAGTTTGTTTATAGCCTAAATCTTAAAAGTGGTGTTCATTTGTGAAGATTATCTCGCTGAACAAAACGTTTAAGTATCATAAACGGTTGTTTGCCACAGAACATCTTTTCTGCAATAATCCATAATAATCTATCCCATTGGCTTTTTGTCGAGGGAACCGGCGCGATGCTAACATCCAGGTTGGCCTACATACGTCATCCCTGCAGCGCTCTTTAGTTTTGGTTTTACGGCCATCGACGTTGCTGTTTTGGTTCAGAGACAAAGCTCGATTGACACAAAAGATAACAGTTTATACTGCTTTAAGGCTGAGGAAAAGCCCTAATCGTGTTTAAAAGAAACCAGTTTACTGTTTTTAGACAGCTGCAGGTCTCCTATGTGAAGATGATCTCTTGGATACTACACCACAATCTGAGTTTTTCTAACGATCAATATGCAATTTTGAGCTTATGTAAAGTCGAAATGATGCAATTATAACAGTGGAAATGAAACAGAGTTTTACATGAATATGAAAATGTTGTTTCCATTTTGCCCTCGAAAGTGTTCCAGCAGATTTCACAGCTATACTCTCACTGCATGGAGCAAAATGTAAAACCAACTGCCACCCCCTTTAACAAACAAGAGGTGTAAGATGTAACACAAAGTGTCATGTAACACACCAGACGAAGCTTATTCAAAAGGGCTAAAGGTAACACTTGACTGGACCATTGTCCACCGGCAGTATGAGACTGACTGCAGCCGAGCGATTCACCTTTTCATTTTTTGCTCAGTCTATGTGTATGGCATGTGGCTCAGCCCCGGAGGGTGGCCAGACGTAGACGTAGGTGTATATTCAGCATGAAATTAGGTGAAGCCGAAAAATACATGTGCGTCGAGGGGGGGGCTGGGCAGGGTTAAATGGTTGGCCTCCCCATTCAAGGAACCACAGCATGAACAGTGCTGCCTCATTAGCGGCCTGATATGGAAGCAGGTCCAACCAGGGAGAGACTGCGACTCGGCACCGAGAGAGAGAAGTCCCAGAAATAGCAAAAAGATGAACAGACTGACCGCAGGAAACACACACACACACACACACACACACACACACACACACACACACACACACACAATAGCACAGAAGCAAGCAGACAAAGAAGGAGGTATAGAGAAGCTCACACTCAGATGATCACTAAAGTCAAAGACATACACAAACAAATACCTGAGACGAAAACACACAGATGCAGAGGCAGATACCTCACCACTGTCACACACATTGTCAGGGTCTACTGTATCTTTACCCCTTCTTGCATCTTTTACATTGTTGCTCAACAGCCTTTTCCAAATGTAATGGTTAATTCATGTCTTGATGTAAAAACCCAGTTTACAGCTTAGCGAATGGGCTTTCTCATGGAACAGGACAGATGTGTGTTTGTGCTCCAATTTGTGTGGATGCATCTATATTTTAAATGCCCACAAGATGATACAGCATGAATACCGTATACTCAGTGCGAGTGTTACTGAGTGGTCATGATTGCATTGGGTATGCAATAAAACCAAGCAAACATTTGGACAGTTTGTTCATTGCTTACAGGGGTACGGCATTCATCAGATACTGCTCTTTATTACGTTGGGGGACTCTGGGTCCTACATTTCTCATGGCCCATGTGTAATGTAGCCTATAAGCATCATAATACGACTCTCCTTAATTGGTTAAAGCCAAAATCTTTCTAAATCCTGCCCCAATATCTATATCTCCTGTGGACTGAAACTATCACAAAAAGCTCATTTCATCGTTGTATCATTTAATATACACGATCTCTAGATATTCTGCTTCGATTGGCATTTTTGTTAACATCCTCCACTATTTTTAGAATAATTTGTATTTTAACGATGCATGTCACGTTCAAATCTCAAGAACCTTTTGCAGAAAAAAATGAATTACCGTCCAACTGCTTTTTTGCTTGTTTATGGAGACAGCATGCAGTTGAGAGAGAGGTCACATTTGAACACAGAGAGAACAAAGGTCAGGTGAAAGTGAATACAAACGGTTATAAATACAAGACAGCCGAAAAGGACGCTTTATGATTATAGCGTTTTTGTTTGGGAAACATGACAGGAATTATCATTTAATCAAAGATTTGATGCTCCCTTTATTCACAGTTGATGACATGGATGCAAACTTGCAGATACTGTGCACCAAAGAATGGACAAAAACAAAGAGTCCATTTACATAAAGAGACAAAATGACACTTGGACAGACTTGCAGACGCGCGCAACCGGACACACACATTAGCACAGACTTGCGATCACACTTGCCGTAAGGACAAACAGTTTGTTTGCTACAAAGCATAAAGCACCGGGAGGAGTGGAGTTGCGGTGACATGTTGCAGCAGATGGCTCATCTCTTCATCCTTATCCTCTTCCTCCTCGTCCCTCTGCCACCTGTGGAGGAGGACGCGCTCTCTCCGAAAACTGTCCGCCCTCCCCGAAATCAAGGACGCAGGTCATTTATCATGAAGGGAGCAGGTCACCTCAAACTAAAGTTTGTTGCGCGAGTGCACCATTGTTCTTGTGGGCTCCGCACCTCACTCTGTAGTCGTCAGACTGAGTGAGCCTGAAAGTCACGATGACACCGATGGGAGTTTGGCTTTGCGGGCAAATTATCGCCAAGATCCATTTTAAACAGCTTTACTCATGACACAGATCTTTATTCAATTTAATTTCCCTTTTCTTCAGACATATTGAAAGGGCTTTGTTTTGCAGAAACTCTCAGCAGAATTGAACCTTTTTTTTTGTATTTTGTCAATATAGACTTTTTCTTCTGTATTCGCTATGTGAGAAATCTCAGCCTCAAAAGTCATCTGAACCAAAATAAATCTGTGTGTAAAACTGGTGACAAAGATGAAAACGTTTTACTTTTTTGAAAAAAAAAGTCTTGATTTCCATTTAATGCCGGCATCCCAGAGCACCGTGCCTTCTATTCACTCTCTGTTCTTTTGTTGTAGAGTCGGCCGAAGCCACGCATCGGCTTCACTTCTCTCCGGCTGAGTTGACGTTGTGACAGGCCTTGAGAGGCAAGGATACACAGTGTCCTTATTCTGTCACCTCCCGCCATTGGCTTTGACTGGCCCCCAACACATGCATTCAAGCCCCCTACAGCACAGCCAATAAATCACTGTCTTCTGATACAATACCAGAGAAAGTTTGCTCAAGGAGCTTGGCGCAGACATTATTGGCGTTTGGTCCCGATCTATTTCGGTCCTCTCATTTCCAGCCGCTGGATGTCTGACATGAAAGGATAGATATGCTAGCTGATTATGAAAACTGTGAGGAACACTGTAATGTTTCTCGCTGCATTAATGGTTATAGTAATAATAATAATGAAACTGATCGGGATTTGTGTGTCGGCTCCTTTTTGGCATTTTATTCACAGATGCTTGCTCTCACTTCTGAGGGGTGTCTCCGAACAATTATTCACATGAGGCACTTAGTCATTCATTGTTCGTGGTGACCTTTCGTCACGTGACTTTGAGAGGAAAGTGACACTTCATATTCTATCTTCAGAACGTCACTGGGGAGACATTATGGCTGATGCATGTTCCCCCGGGTACACGTGTCCTCCTCAAAGAGCCACCCATTAATCTTTGAGCACTCCCTATCAATGCAAACCGTTCCCATATCATCGGCTCCCTCAATCAGCCTCATAATATCTGCAGTGACAAATTGACAGAGCTGCAGGATGACCTTACGTCATTTCACATCGCAATGTATCCACGGATGAATTATGAGACAACGGGCCCCAGTAGTTTCTTTGTGTGCCTTTTTGCTAATTTATTTGTCTCTTTTGTGGTTGTTTTGTGTCCGTCTGTAGCTGTTTTGTGTATCGTTATAGTTGTTTTATACCTCTTTCTGGTTGATTCGCATATCTCTGTCAAATAGTTTTGTTCACCTTGTGGTTGTTTAGTTTCTCTATTTGGTTGATTTGCATCCCTTTGTAGTTGTTTTGCATCCCTTTGTAGTTGTTTTGTGTATATATTTGTGGCTGATTTGCGTCACTTTGTAGGTATTTTGCATCTCCTTGTGGTAAATTTGCCTCTCACTGAAGTTGTTTTGCTTCCCTTTTTGGTCGTGTCTCTTAGTGGTCGATTTTCTCTTCTGTGGTCGTTTGGCTTCTCTTTGTTGTAGTTTTGTGTGATCATTTTGTGTGACTTGTGTAATTAAGCAGTATTCTTTGTCATTTTTTCGTTTCTTTGTCGTCGTTTTGCATATATTTGTAGTCGATCTACGTTTTTGTGTCTCTTCTCAGTTGTTTTGCGCCTCTTTGTTGTCATTTCTTGTCTTTGTGGTTGTTTTCTTTCATTGGTTTTTTACAGGTTTTGGTTGACTTTCCAACAAGAAATGTTGGAACAACAATTGATAATCAATTTAAACTGAGTCTCTGGTCCAGTGCGCCCTTGCCCACTTGGGCCCCCTGAGCCGGTGCCAGTAAGTAATCCATCCATGACTGTATCCCACTGCACATGCTTGTTAAAAGGTCAGGAGGGAGGCTGTGATGTTGCAAGAAACAGAATGAATGAGACCTGGCTGGCATACACCATCGAGGTGTCAATATAAAGCTCCTGTGCCATGACGGATCTGGCTGAGTTAAAAGAATGGTTGTCAGACTGCAATGATTGAAGGCTTCCGGCGCTCGAACGTCACTGAGAGAAAACCAGGGACTGGAAATGTTTGCATAGGTAGAAATGAAAACTGATTGGATGGCAAAATAAAAAACATTTTGTCAGCAAATCAAGCACTTTTATTCAAATTCCTGCAAGCAATTTTTCATATATTCACACATCTGTCATCTCAGTCAGACCTCAGACATCAAACATGCAAAAAAAAGGGTTTGCCAGACTGCGAGGAGCCAAAGGCGATTATTTGCATAGAAAAAGGCCACGTGTGATTGGCTGAAAGTAATACATAAACAAATGAGTTGGATGTGAGGCTTCAGAGTTGGACCTCCGCAGAAAACAATTTCTCCGAGCGAGATTGAAATTTGGACGGTAATGAGTTAATAGAATTTGTCAAGTAATTTCTCCCCCAAATATTTAGCCAGCGTAGAGCAACAACAAGTACCGCAGTGTCCGAGAACTGGCCGGCACTCTGTTTTTGTTTGTTTTACGCATCTTACAATAAAAGTCAATGGGCTGTTTTACTGAGAGAGAATAATAATAGAGAGGCAAAGTAGACGCTTTGTTGCAAGGGGGAAGGCTTGCTTCTAGCTTTGGGAGAGACATTCCTTGTCAGACGAATGTTGTGCACAGCGGTGTTTGGGTGTACTTGCTCTCTCTCTCTCTTTCATATGCACACAGAGCATGACTCAGCGAAACATTTACTTTTTCAATATGTATTTGGTTATATAACCTTTTTGTACATATTTAACGTTTTATTGTATTAATATAAATCTGAGACTAAAAGGAATATTTACCATTTTTATATAACTGTTTTTCAAATGTTATGTAAATGTTAAAATAAGCAGTAAACAGTGTGCTACTAACTGTCGGCTGACAGTAATTTTCCAAACCTCACTTGAGACTGTCCTCTCCTTCAGCCTGCTCAAAACTCCTGAGGATATGCTTCAACATCCACTAATATGCATAATACTAATACATGTACTCAAGTACTGTGCTCAAGTACATTTCTTAGGTACTTGTGCTTTTTTTTGCTACTTTACTTTATACTTCAACCACACATCTCAAAGGGAGGTGATTTTCAGTCAACTCTTAACTAAATGTAACTTTGTACATTGCAACTTTATACACAAAACATATACGCTCATAAGATATTTTGTATTGTTCTAGATTAAATTAGCCAACAGTAGTTGTTTAAAGCAGTTAAAATTAGCTCTACCTTACATAACAATGAACAATCCAATAATATGTAATTTTTCAGTTATGAGTACTTTTACTTTGAATACTTTGAAAATTTGTATTTCAATACTTCTGTTGTACTTAAGTTACATTTAGAAAGCAGGACTTGTGTGACTCAAGTAAACACTGAAATTAAAAGCCTGTGATGAGACAGAAAATGTCTGAAGTTCATGCACGTGCTTTGCGAATTAATTTCTGTATTACAATCAGCAATTACCTCGAGTTCACTGAGGTTAAGTGTTGAAACACTCCAGTATAATCGGTTGTTTTGTGAGGCATCCGCAGCTATGTGCTACAGTTCAGTCAGATAGAGTAACTAAGAGAAAAGCCACTCTCACTTAATAACTTGTGATACCACGCAAAGGTATTGCTCCGTAGGGAAAGGAATGGAGGGCTTTGGAGCAGCTATGCTTTTCAGCTTTACAAACAGTTTAACACTCTCTGAGACCAAAACAACAACGTGTGAATTCTTAAATTGAGTGCTACAACCTTTTAATCTCTTTACACTGATGAATATTTAATGTGGTCGTCGAAATAAGATCCCACTCGTACTTGAAGAAAAAAAAAAAAAAAAAAGGAAAACGAGAGCAGGACAAATGTAAATTTATTGAGGTCAGCTTGATTTATTAATTTTTTTTCACTCTGGAGAGATTTCCTATTTTCTAGTAAGAATTCTTCCCCGTTTTAATGTGAGAACATTAGATAACCCAGGAGACCGGGGTGCCGGAGCTCGCTCCATCTGGTTAACTCTGAGCCTTTTTGCCGTTTTGTGTTGGAGAGAAAGAAAGAGACCCAGAGGGAGAGCGAAGAAAGGGTGGCGGTAGGAGGCCCGGGTCGAATCCTCAAAGTGCCGGACTGTTCTACTTAAAAGATCTTTAAATAGGGTGATTCACTAGAATGCCCAGCTCTCATCTGTCTCCGCTCTTGTTGAGGCACCATGGGATAAACCGGGGACTGAGCATCATGGGAAAGTGGGTTAGGGTATGGACAGCGGGGCGGACTTACCCAAATTGTCCACAGGGATCAATAAAGTTTCTTCATCAGTGAATCATTGTCCTACAGAGCAACCATACGGAAAAAAAACAAGGACACAAATCTTAATAATTGACCGTCATGCATAAAACATGAGCCAAAGTCAAGCCAATAAGATAATGGATGTTTTACGCGCCGGAGCCCGGAGTTGCTTTGAATGCCGAGACCCATTCATGTGGTTAGTGGACTCATTTACCTTCCGTCTGAATTCTTCAGGATTTTCCCGGTGCGGCTGATTGCCTCTAATTTCGTCCGAGCATCTGGGGAAGGGGATTCATTGTGGAACAAGAGCGGCGGTTGAGGGTCTCTGTGTATTGCCGCGCCGCCAGCTAAATGATCTCCGGTGGACGTCGGCTTAAATGGGAGCTAAATGGTGACGCCGAACGCTCCTCTATCTGAAGCTCATTACCTGCCTCTCCATTCCCCAGAGAGCTGGCTCAGCTTTGCGTCGAGCCCTCTCCTGCCAGGAGGAGGGTGATTACAACATTTTGCTCGACAAAAGCTACCCCCCCAAGCGCTTTCCTCGCAGTTTCCTGCCTCCCCCCCTGTGTTTCTTTCAGGCTGCCTCTCTCCTGCACCTCGGGCGATTCGCACTCCGTCTGATTCGTCTTTGTGTCCTGCCAATGATTACAACACTTACAGACAGGCAATCCGTGAATGGTACGGCGGAGTGTTTGCTCGCTAACAGACAACAGTGAATAAGCAGAATTATGAATCATCACACCAAGTCCAGACAACAACAAGCACAAAGGCAGTAACAACAACACCAAACTGTTATGGGAATCGAGAGCTGTTTTGAAAGTGAATCACGGGAGAGCTGCAGAATGGCAAGCAGATGGGATCAACACTGATGCACGCGCAGGGTTGTCATCCAGCCTCGGAGGAGCAGAGGCCTACGCATTCCTCTGCCAGGGCTCGATGTACTCGAGACCCAGATGGGCAAAGATATCCTTTTCAGTCGTGGCTGCCAGGAACTCTTTCTAGAGATTGAGAGAGGGAGAGAGGGAGTGAGAGAGGGAGAGAGAGATAGGCAAACAAACAGAAAGAGGATGACAGTATGCAGGAATGTGCAGGAATTTTGTCTCTGCAAAACCGGTGCAAATCTGCAAATTCTCAAATTTGAGCTTCGCTATTCCTGAAGGTGTTCACGTTTTTGCAGCCTTAGCAGTGCTTGTTCTCCTATCTCCGCTGCAAGCTGTCAATATCAATTGAGACTGCGGCTGTGCCGATTTATATTTGAACGCCCACCTCCCTTCCGACCCATAAACGCTCCAACCTTGCTCTAAGTGATTGCACTTCTCAGCAGACCAGTATTTTACCTGACAAACCACGACAGGGGCCGTCTACCGGCGGCCATGTGATGGGTTGTGTCTCCATAGGAGCGGTGACGAGGCCTGACTCACCTTGAGAGCGAGACAGCCTGGAGAGGACGAGAGAGAGAGAGGGAGAGAGAGAGAGAGAGAGGACTGTGATTCTGACACATCCTGCCTCCAAGTGTTAAACTGGACCTGACGCGGCTGCGAAGAGATGGCAGGAAAAAAAACGCGAGCGTGCCGGCTCCCGCTGCCAGCCGAGAGGCAGACAGAATTGAGTGCAACTAGTCGGCAGCCAGGAGAGGGGAAAACCGCCACCTAACATGCCGCCTTGTTATTTAAAATGCAAATGACAGGTTAGCCAGGCGGCGGAGAGGTTCGGGGGCACGGTGCATTAGGCTTTGTTCATATCACAGGTCTTCTTAACCGCTGCATTTGGGAGTAAAAGTTAAGGTGAGCGCACTCGAAAGGTCCATAGAAATCCCCCAATGAAACAGGGAAACACGTTAATGTTGAGTGAGGTTTACAATGGACCGTCTGGGTGATAGTGTTACCGTTCATCTTTTGTTTTTCGATTCCAAATATGTTTGTCTAATTTGTTTCCAAGCACATTATGCAATAAAAAATAATAAATATTTAAAAAAATGGTGCATAAAATGCGTGCATAAGAAGAGATATATAATATATATATTATATATTATATATA